GCGCCTCGGCCCACGAGTGGGGAGGAATGCGAGAAGCTGATTGCGTGTGTTGCAGCTGAAACTCCTTTTCCCACCCAGATTCGGGGGGACAGAGCACAGGACCGTGGGCTTCAGCAAAAATGCGAATTCCTGCGCTTTTGCCCAGAACACTAGCTGCTTGGCTGGGACGGCGACATTCCTGCTGGAGGGTGCAGTAGTGACCCAAACCCAAGAGCAAGTAAGCGAACAGCTGCGAGAGACAGACGCAGGAACTTGGGGCAGTGGGGGCTGTCCAGGCCTCTCTCTCTGGGCCGGTGGCTGCTGCCGCATGATTACAGGGATCCGCCATCTCCATGGACCTCCATCCCAGGTAACCATTAGATGTTAAAATCTACACCGTGTTCCTCTGCTAGAGTCTCCAAGGTAAAGCTGATTAAGCTGTAAACCTCCATTTGCTAAGAGAGACGGGAAAATCTGTACACGGAGTGACCACCTGAGCAGGAGGTATGTTTTTAACTGAAGAAAAGAAAAAATGCCAGTCATGGTGGATCAGCTCATGGAGGCTGAGGCAAAAGGATCACCTGTGGCCAGGAGTTTGAGACCCACCCTGGGCAATGCCGTGAGACCCCGACTCTAAAGAAAATTTCAGCAAAGAAAAAAAGGGCAGGAATAATTCATTTATTTAACCCAGAAATGGTTATAATCGGAAACCTTGCAGTCCTCTTACACAACAACTGTTTTGGCAAAGTCCCCATGTTCCAACAAATATGAAACTGTGCTTGCCATTTGTCTAAGGAATCTTGCATTAATAAACATGAAGAAGAACACTTTTACCTCCCACTCTCAACGACAGGACAAAACAAAGACCAGCTGTATTCATCAATGGGCCCTTGTTCCGCACATAAAGGCTAATTACATTTTGCTTCAAGCCTACACATGGAAAACTTCACTGCTGTTGTCTCGTCACAGTCAGCCCGTGCTGTCCCAGCTGACGCATGGCGATGACTGCTCACGATAAACCAGGGTCTCAGAGCAGCCTCGGCGCTATCGACCTGCGGGCTTCTCTCCAAAACAGGGGAGAGGGATGGGTCCCCCGCGACATCTTCCCACGACGGACAGGCAACGTGGGCCCAGTCCATCATGGTGATGCGGTTAAGGTCAATTTCCTCCAAGGCCGTTAATTTCAGAAACGCATACCACGCCCTGCTTCGGGCTTGCCGGGAATAGCTTCTGTCTGTCCACAGCTTAGCCTCAGAGTCTCGCCATGCCAGGTGTTGTACACACACATCTCATTCCTCTTCAAAACCACCCAGTGACTTCACTCCTGATACAGGTCAGAAAGGGACGTGGACAGGTCACAGCGTAGTCAGGGTCACTCAGAGAGCTAGTACTGGAGCCTAGAGAATCACTCCCAAGTCAGTCTTTCTCCAAAGCCCGTCTTCCTTTATGCCTCTCCAATTCCGATCAACAAATATCTAAGAATCCCTCTATTTATTTATTTATTTTTGAGACAGGGTCTTGCTCTGTCACCCAGGCTGGAGTGCAGTGGTGCAACATAGGCTCACTGCAGCCTCGACCTCCTGAGCTCAAGCGATCCTCCCACTTCAGCCCCACAAGTAGCTGAGACTACAGTTACAAGCTACCACGCCGGGAAAATTTTTGTATTTTTTGTAGAGACAGGGTTTCGCCATGTTGCCCAGGCTGGTCTCGAACTCCTGGACTAAAGTGAGCTGCCCGCCTCAGCCTCTCAAACTGCTGGGATTACAGACACGAGCCACTGCTTCCGGCCCTAAGAATGCCTCCTTCTGAAGGGGAAAAAGAAATTGTTTTTGACATGCTGTTAAGACCATATGTGAAAAGATTTGCCCCCAAGGAGCTTATATTCATATGCATCACTGAAAACGTGCCTGGTCTAATAAAATATGTGTAAGTTGGACTTGAAGCAGATGGAATAGTGACAAATCTGTCCTGGAAGATGAAAAGGGAGGGAAAGGCAGCGGGGGAGGTCTCAGATGGAGCCCATGGCCTCCGAAGTTAAAAGAAAGTAGCCAAGATCCAATTCTCTCAGGCCATTCTTTGCATTTCTGGGGGACGACTTTCTCTGGGAACTGTCACAGTACGTGGTTGGCCCCAGGCTGCCGCTGTCAGTGCCAGACCGTTTCTGATGGGGAAATGCCAGGCTGCACCCATCCTGCCCCATGGCAAACCATTCGGATCCTCTGGTGGGTGCTCCCCAAGAATGAATTCACCAGGCTTGCATTTTCACAAATCTCTGCAAACCCTGACCTGACTCATCTTCCAATACCGAATCCCATCCCACCCTCTTTCGAAAGGCTTCCTGACAATTCTTTCTCTGCCGTCTCACGATGCTGAGGCTGTTCTAGTCCCTTCCCCAGCTCCCCTGGCTGGTGGGAGGAGAGAGGGAGTCAGATAAGGGGTCCCTGGCACTGCCTTGGGTCCTCTCCCAAGGCCACGGCTCCCCTTAAGGGGGCCCTTACCTTCAGGCTCCAGCTACCTTTCCCTCCTCTGGCTCATTCGAACCCAGGTGTGGAAACCCTACTGGTATTACGGGCCTAGGATCCACACCTCTGCAAATAGACCCACTGTTGAACTTTTTTTTTTTTTGAGATGAAGTCTCACTCTGTCGCCCAGGCTGGAGTACAGTGGCACCATCTCGGCTCACTGCAACCCCTGCTTGCCAAGTTCAAACGATTCTCCTGCCTCAACCTACTGAGTAGCTGGGATTACAGGCACTCGCCACCATGCTCAGTTAATTCTTGTATTTTTATTTAGAGACAGGGTTTTGCCATGTTGGCCAGGCTGCTCTTGAACTCCTGACCTCAGGTGATTCACCCACCTTAGCCTCCCAAAGTACCAGGATTACAGGCATGGGCCACTGCACCTTCTGACTGTCCCAATGGGAGTGGCCTGCCTGCCGCCTGCAGGCTCACTGTCTGACCAGCTGACGGCCAGTGCCCTATCCCTTGATGGCAGCATTGGGCATGCTGGATTGCAGTGAGCTGACTCCCCATAGAGCCATAAAAGGCTCAGAATTTGCACGGGGCGAGGCACAGAGGAGGCCTCTGTGAACATCTGTTGAATCAATGAACGAATCTATCATCTCTGAGCCATGCTCATCATCTAATCGAGTGTGTCTCTTTCCCTTCGTGCACACCACACCCCTCGGCTAGGCTCATCACTGGAGAGATAAGAATGTTTCTTATTTCAGAGGCCATGTGGGGCACATCCCAGGGGAACCACTGCCCTCTGAGCTACAGTCCTGAGACAAGACGAATTTTTTTTTTCTTTTGAGACAGAGTTTCCCTCTCGTTGCCCAGGCTGGAGTGCAGTGGTGTAATCTCAGCTCACTGTAACCTCCACCTCCTGGGTTCAAGCAATTCTCCTGCCTCAGCCTCCCGAGTGGCTGGGATTACAGGCATGTGCCACCATGCACGGCTAATTTTGTATTTTTAGCAGAGACGGGATTTCTTCATGTTGGTCGGGCTGATCTGGAACTCCTGACCTTAGGTGATCTGTCCGCCTTGGCCTCCCAAAGTGCTGGGATTCCAGGTGTGAAACCCTGCACCTGCCCAAGGCTAATTTTTACACAACAGGACAATTGGTCCCTCACATGTTTTTTTAAAAATTTAAAACAATATATTTTTAAAAATTTTTTTCTTATTTTTAGGGAAAGGGTCTTGCTCTGCTGCCTAGACTGGAGTACAGTGGCACTATCCCAGCTCTCACTGCAGCCTCAAGTCCTGGATTCAAGTGATCCTCCCACCTCAGCCTCCTGAGTAGGTGGGACTACAGGTGCATACCACCATGCCGGGTGAAATATAGTAATTTTTAAAAATCAGATTTACAGAGAAAAACAACTTAATCCAAGTAAGTAAGTTGCTTAATCAGGTCCAAGCAGAAGAAATTGAGAGGAGTGATTAGCTAATCTGGTGGTGATGTTTTAGTCTTCACGTGTAAGTTTCATACTCATGACCAGAATCCATTCTGACCACCAGGCTGGGGAGCTTGGCTCTCGAGGTCTCGACTCCGCGCAAAGCATCAAGAGCCCCATACAGCATCCTGAAAGCAACGGACCCAGCAGCACCCTCAACGCCCAACGTCAAGTGAGATGGGGCAGAGAGACACTGAGTACCACACAGAGCTGGAGCCTGGGGGGACAGCAGCGCCATTCAGAAGCATCCCTCCTCTCACTGATGCCCACGGAGGCACTGTGTGAGCAGAGTCGGGGGAACCTTTGTTACTGGGGTAGGGAAACCCAAGAGACATGGTAGTGGGCACATAAGTGTGTTTCCACAGAAGATGGGGAGAGCCTTCCAGAACAGGAAAAAGAGGTTCAAACGCTAGCCTGGCACTGCCCACCTGGAATTTGGTAGAGGAGGAAATGGCTAGGAGCAATTTCTGCCAATTCTTCATGTTTTCATGACACGTCAGTCATTATTTCTTCCTTGCTGGTGTTCCACATGAAAGATGGGCTGGTAAACAGTACACTTGCAGTGGATGCCTCTAGTGTCCCTTGGACAAGAGCTGGGTAGGAAGTTGGCCTTTTGTGACTCTGCCCGCCCGAATCTGTATCCATCTGTATACACCTAGCATTGTAAGGTGTGACATGGACCCGTACGCCTGCCTGGGAATGTATCATTCTGAGGCTGGCCTTCCTAAAGGGTCCTGGGAGAAACGAAGAGCGCTGGCCCAGGAAGCAGGATTTGCCCAGATCCAACTCCACACAAAAAATGTCCCGTGTGTCGTATACATGAACCCCCAGATTCTCATGGTAAAAGGCCCAGCAGTGACCAGGCTTCATAATAAAGAAGGGAAGAAGTTTGTTGGAAGGATTGTCCAGCGAGTGCTGGAACACACACTGAACTGACACGAGAACTCACGGGAAAGACACTGTGAGCCTGCAGCGGAGGTCTAGAACCTTCTCCAGCCCGCCCTGCTCGGCAGGGCAAAATCAGGTGAGAAAGGCGAACGGTTAAGGCGGGCCAAGCAGGGGGACTTACTTTGCAGTAGTTTCTTCATCATATTTGGTTTTCAGGTCAAATAATTCTGTTCGAGTTTTTTCTAGGGCTGAAAGGCGAAGAATACAAAATCATGATGTAAGACACTCTTGAAATAAAGGTTAAAAAGAACGCAAATACACCTAATCTAGTCCCATTTCAAAAGAGGCAGAGATTTCTGTGAAGAGTGAGGTGTGTGAAAAAATAAAGATTAAAAAAATACAAAAAAGGCCAAGATGATGAAAATACAAAAAATACAATAGGAATCCCCCTTTCATCTCTGCCTCATCTAATCCCAAGCACCTACAAAGACGGAACCCAATGTTAATAGTTTCCTTCCTTCCCTCCCTCCATCCGTCTGTCCATTCCTTCCGTTTTTTGTTTTTTTTTTTTAATAATTTTTACTACTTTTTTTTTTTTTTTTTTTTTTTTTTTTTTTTTTTTTTTGTGGAGATGGGGTTTCTCCATGTTGGTCAGGCTGGTCTTGAACTCCCGACCTCAGGTGATCTGCTGGCCTTGGCCTCCCACAGTGCTGGGATTACAGGCATGAGCCCGTGCACCTGGCCCGTCCCTTTTGTTTTTAAGAGACAAGGTTTCTCACTCTGTCACCCAGGCTGGAGTACAATGGCACAATCACAGCTCACTGTATCCTTGAACCCCTAGGCTCAAGCCATCCTCTTGCCTCAGCCTTCCAAATAGCTGGGACTACAGGCGCAAGCCACTATTCTTGGTTGTTCTAGAGATAAGGTTTTACTATGTTGCCCAGGCTGGTCTGGAATTCCTGGCCTGAAGTGATCCTCCCACCTTGGTCTCCCCAAGTGCTAGGATTACAGGTGTGAGTCACTGAACCTGGATTATTTCATGTTTTAATGTGTATTTTGTTATTTCTGGCTGGGCAAGGTGGCTTATATCTGTAACCCCAGCACTTTGGGAGGCTGAGGCGGGCAAATCACCTGAGGTCAGGAGTTCAACATCAGCTTGGCGAACACGGTGAAACCCCGTCTCTACTAAAAATACAAGAATTAGCCAAGTGTGGTGGCACATGCCTGTAATCCCGGCTACTTGGGAGGCTGAGGCAGGAGAATCGCTTGAACCCTGGAGTTGGAGGTTGCAGTGAGCTGAGATCATGCCACTGTACTGCAGCCTGGGTGACAGAGCGAGACTCCATCTCCAAAAAAAAAAAAAAAAAAAAAAGAAAAAAGAAAAGAAAAAGAAAAAAATAAAAAATTTAAAAATTCTGACAGTCTGATAGGCAAAACAGTCTTTCACTAATTTAATCTGCATCTCCCTGACTGTAAAAAGAACTCTGCATTGCTTCACGCGGCTTCCATTTGCATTTCTTCTGTGAACTGACTGCTTGCTCATTGTCCTACTGCACTGTTCTCTAGCTTAACGGATTGATTGGCAGCCTTTACATTTTTTTGTTTATTATACGTTTGTCAAATTTGTTGTGATTATTTTCTCCCACTCTCGTCATTTGTGTTTTAACTTGAATAATGTCTTCTGATGCCTGTCTACATTTAAATAATCTGCTCAGTTCTGGGTCACTCAAAAATATAATAAAATTTAAAAACACATTTAAATGGAATAGATGGTGATGCTCCTATTTCAGAAATGAAAAAGAGGGGCTGGGCGTGGTGGCTCGCTGGAGCTCAGGTGATCGACGCCAGACTGGCCAACATGGTGAAAACTTATCCCTATTAAAAATACAAAAATTAGCTGGGCATGGTGGCGGGCACCTGTAATCCCAGCTACCAGGGAGGCTGAGATGGGAGAACTGCTGGAGCCCAGTGAGGTGAAGGTTGTAGTGACCTGAGATCACGCCACTGCACCCCAGCCTGGGCGATAGAGCTGTCCCCCCAAAATAAAAACAAAACAAAACAAAAAAAAGAAAAAAGAGAGAAAAAAAGAAGTTTAAAGAAACTGTAAAAACTTGAGCATAACCTTTTTTGGTGGCTTTTACATTTTAAAGGTCTGAAATTACTGTTCTCTTTAACTTCATTTAGGGTAGAAGTAAGTTTTTTTTTTTTTTTCTATTATTGTTGCAAATGAAATGTCAGTCTTTGACAGTTTGGTGATTTAGACGTGTTTGTTGGAAAAAAGAGCAGGAAGAAAGGATGGCGTGTGGAAGGGATGAAAATGGAACCGAGATCCTCCCACCTCTACATTAAGAACTCAAAGTCAGTGAGTAATGAAGCAGCTGGCGGGCGTGCTGCGGAATTCTTCAGCGTGGGCTCACAGCAGCTCCCACGGGTCCCAAGAGCAACAGGTATCTGCAGGGACCAGGGCGGTCAGGGGACCGACTCAACTCTCCCCCTGGGTCCTCCCCACATCCATGGTACTAGGAAGGAGAGTATCAAACCTGTTTGTAGGCTCTGAACCTTATGCTCAGCTTCCTCCAGCTTTGAGGTGGTGGACATCTGTGTCTCCTGCAGCTTTCTGCAAAGGAAGAGGATGTAGCCAAATCGGTCATCTCCTTTACCCACTGAAATGCACGTGTGTGTTTGGGCTGAGCTCAGCTCCCTCCCTGCGCTCAGCTGGCGGCAGGCGCGCCACGGGGTATCGCCCGCAATGACACGTGTGTCGTGGGCCCAGCTCCCGCAGCTTCCACATCCCAGCTTTGTAACCGCGTGTCACATCACGGGAAGCGTGCACCCTGCAAGGGCTTGACGGGTGGTAACTGACGTAGAAGGTTATCCGAAATGTAATTTGTTCTTGAAATGCCAGATTTTAAAAAGAAAAAAAAAAAATCATCATCACGCACTCATTGTTTTCTGAAGTTAGCCCAAGAAGAATGATCCATTTACATTCTGCTGACACAATGAAGGAGTTTGTTGGAATAAAGGATGCACTAAATAGATGTGGCAGCTGTTCTGTCTCTGTTATAATGGAATGCAAAACACAACTGCAATACCTAATGGGGACACTGTGAACGCTCACAACTGCATTCCACAGATTCACATTTCCCAGGATCGCTAAGCGAATTCCCTGGTCAATAAATAGCATTCCTGCCTCTTAATCTGAGAAAAAAAAACAAAAAAACAAAAAAACCCCAAAAAAACAAAAAACCAAAAAAGCCCTCTAAAAATAAGTTTATTATTTTTATATCATATGAATATAACATATGCTCTCATAATAATAAACTGGGAATACAGAAAAGTAGAAATGACACAGGTTACGAAGTCACTCCAATTCCCATCACCTCTAGAAAAGCATTGCTAATATTTTCATGTGTTTCAGTTATGAAACTAATGTACTCTCAAGGATGAAATCAAATATGATGAGAGCATGGAAAGTGTGAGACTCTTACTATTCCCTGGCTCATTTCCGTTCCTCAGACAGAGTTCGTTTCTTTCTAAAATGTTTCTGCATGCACAGAGATACGACATCATATGTTACAGGCTATAGTGTAATATGAAAAAATATGTAACATACTATAGCATAACACGAACTAATATGTAACATACGATATATAACAGGCTATAGTGTGATATAAACAAACACATAACACGCTGTAGCACAATATAAACGAATACATACAAATGAGAGCATACTATGAAGTAATACATAATGCTACCGTGCAATACGAACTAATGTGTAACACACTATAGCGTGAACTAATATGTAACAAGCTATGAACTAATATGCAACATACTATAGCGGAAAGTAAACTAATGTAATATACCTTAGTGCGGTATGAATATGTAACATGCTGTAGCGTAATGTAATATACTAGCGTGTACTATGAACATGTCACATGCTATAGCATGTGAATTAAAATCTAACATACTATAGTGCAATTCAAACTAATGTGTCACGTAGTAGAGCAAAATATGAACTAATATACCACAGCATAGTCAAAACTGAGACGTAGCACACTATAATGTAATAATGAAGTAATGTAATATACTATAGTGCAGTATGAATATGAAATATACTACTGAAATAGAAGTATTTAATATGCTACAGTGTAACAGAAACTCCCTGCCCTGTTATTTTAATACAGAGGTGATCATAACACACACCACATTCTGGGCTCCTTTATTCACTTATCTCTGTATTTGGGAAATGTTCTAGTCCAGCAAACATAGTTCCTCCTCATTCTTACTAAATAATTAACTTAATCAAGTCTCTCTGGACACTCAGATCATTTCTAGGGTTCTTTCTACTGAACATCTCCTCGATGATCATTGTGGAGATACTGTATAATTTTGAGCGTGAATCTGTTGGATGAAATGCTAACAGAGAAATTACAATGCTCAAAGGGTAATCTTTTCCTGTTTTTTGGAGACAGGGTCTTGTTCTGTCACCCAGGCTGGAGTGCAGTGGCGTAATCTCGGCTCACTGCAATGTCTGCTCCTGGGTTCAAGCAATTCTGCCTCAGCCTCCCGGGATGCTAGGATTACAGGCGTGCACCACTATGCCTGGCTGTTTTTTGTATTTTTAGTAGAAACGGGGTTTCACCACGTTGGCCAGGCTGGTCTCAAACTCCTTGCCTCAAGTGATCCGCCAGCCTTAGCCTCCCAAAGCGCCGAAATTAAAGGCATGAGCCAGTTCGCCTGGCCCCTTTTTTTTGTTTTGATAGATGGTGAAAAACTTCCCAACAAAAAACTTTCACCAGTTTAAACTCCCACCAACAATATGTAAGTGTGTTTTCGTATACTCTGCCAACATAAGATAATATCAGATTTAAATTTTTTTTACTGCTGAGTAAAGCTACATTATTTCTCTTTGTATGAGATGCCTACTTATCTCCTTTGCCTGTTTTTGTAGAGTGGATTTTGTTCTTATCAATTTAGAAGACCTCTTTGTATATAAAGCACATTAGCCCTCTGTCTTACATGGTACAAATATTTCTTCCCAGTTTGTTGATTTTTAAAAATGTTATTAGTTGTAAAGAATCTATTTTAAGTTTCAGTCATATTAATAATAAAAACAAATATGCACCCTAGTTTTCTTCCACTGTGTTTGTGACATTAAAAAATTATAATCTTTAAATCCTAGATCCATCCACAGTCTTTTGGTATAAAGAATAACATCTGTAATCCCGGAACTTTGGGAGGCCGAAGTAGGTGGATCGCTTGAGGTCAGGAGTTCAAGACCAGCCTGGCCAACATGGTGAAACCCTGTTTCTATTAAAAATATAAAAATTAGCTCAGTGTGATGTTGGGCACCTGTAACCCCAGCTATCCGGGAGGCTGAGGCAGGAGAAGCTTGAACCCAGGAGGCAGAGGTTGCAGTAAGCTGAGATTGTGCCACTGTACTGCCGCCTGTGTAACAGAGTGAGATACGGTCTCAAAACACACACACATCCACACCCACACAGAGAAAGAGAAAATGAAGTAAATTCTAGCTTCAGCTCTTCCCTCTAACAGTCAGTTATTATATCTTTCAATATATCTAATCCCTTTACCTAATTTGAAAAGTCAAGAGCTGGGCACAGTGGCTTACAATTGTAATGTTAGCACTTTGGGAGGCCGAGGTGGGCGGATCACCTGAGTTCAAAACCACCCTGAGCAACATGGTGAAACCCCATCTCTACTAAAAACAAAAAAATTAGCTGGGCTGTGGTGGCACACACCTGTAATTTTAGCTACTCGGGAGAATGAGGCAGGAGAATCACTTCGACCCACAGCAGAGGGCTGCAGTGAGCCGAGACTGTGCCATTGCACTGCAGCCTGGGCAACAGAGCGAGATTCCATCTCCAAAAAAAAAAAAGTCAACTTAATAATATTTAATTCCCGTATGTGTTTATTTCCACATTGTGGTAATGCATGAGTTTACTGCAGGAGGATGTACAATCACACTGTACTGTATATAATTTTGTATGGTACATTTTTTGACTTTATATTATGCAAGATCTATTTCTTACATGACTATGAATTTTACATAACTATTATTAATATTTAAAAGGTGACATAACATCCCAGTTAGGGATAGTCCTCTTTCTACTAGCCCATTTCTCCATGGCAGGGCAAACAGACCGACTGCACATTCTCACTCACTGGTGAGGAAACTCTTTGGTTGTAAAGTGCTATCCTAAGAGGCACTGACTTAGGACCAAGTCCGTATCAATGGCGTCAAGGGTCTGGCCATCTTTCCGAGCCTTGATCCTGTGTTTTGCATTCCTCTCCTGGAGCAGGGCACTTCCCTAATGCAGGATGGATGCAGCCTCCACCTGCAGAGTTGGGTGTGGCCCCAAGGTACTGGCCTTGGTCCTGCAGCGAGGACTCCAGGTGACCATGACAGAGCAGAGGTGGAGGCCAGGGCTGAAGTGGGCAGGCGCCAGTCCGGAGTTGCAAAGTCCCACCTCTGGCTCTGATTAACTGCAAAAGCTGTAGGAGGTACCTCACCCATGACCTGGTTTCTTCCTCTGTGAAATGAGATGGTTTACACTGCAATCCAACTTGGGAAATCAGTGAGAGAATGTACCGAGAGCCTCCAGCCTAGTTCTGATACAGGGAAGAACCTGGGTGGGTGGGAGCTGGCGGTTATCTTTTTTTTCTTTCTTTTTTTTTGAGATGGATTTTCACTCTCGTTGTTCAGGCTGGAGTGCAATGGTGTGATCTCAGCTCGTTGCAACCCTGCCTCCCGGGTTCAAGCGATTCTCCTGCCTCAGCCTCCCAAGTAGCTGGGATTACAGGTGTGAGCCACCATGCCCAGCTAATTTTGTATTTTTTTTTTTTTTTTTTTTTTTTAGTAGAAATGGGGTTTCACCTTGTTGGTCAGGCTGGTCTTGAACTCCTTGACCTCAAATGATCCACCCACCTTGGACTCCCAAAGTGCTGGGGTTACAAGTGTGAGCCACCGCACCTGACTTCTTCTTGTCTTTTTCTTTCTTTCTTTCTTTCTTTTTTTTTTTTTTTTTTTTTGAGACAAGGTCTTGCTCTGTTACCCAGGTTGGATTACAATGGCCTGATCATGGCTCACTGTAGCCTGGAACTCCTGACCTCAAGCAATCCTCCTGCCTCAGTCTCCTGAGTAGCTGGGACTACAGGCACGTGCTGATGGGCGTGGCTCATTCATTCATTCATTCATCCATTGCAGAGATGGCATATCTCCATGTTGTCCAGGCTGGTCTCAAACTCCTGAGTTCAAGGGATCCTCCTGCCTCAGCCTACAGATTATATGTGTAATCCTCAAAGTGCTGAGATTACAGATGTGAGCCACCATGCCCAACCAGTTTTCTTTTCAGATGAAGTCAGCTGAAAGACATCCCCCAGAAGCCTTCACGATGCTGTAGGGCAGGTGAGCCCAAAGGAGGGCTTAGCTGGCAAGGGCTCTGCGCTTCGGCCAGGAAGGAATTCAAGGGCGAGCCGGTGGTAGGGCAGAAGAAGGCAGCTTTATGGAGGCGGCAGTGTTACAGCTCTGTGACTGGTCTCATGGGGCATGACTGCCCCACAGGCCGTGTGCTGACAGTAGGTCAGGACAGTTTTGTACTCATATTTGTACTCATACTTTTAATTATCTGTAGATTAAGAGGCAGCTTATGTGGAGATTTCTAGGGAAGGGTAGTAACTTTTGAGCTGTCAGATCATTGCCGGGGAACGGGGTGGTAACTCCTGGGTGTTGTCATGGCAATGGTAATCTGACATGGCACGCTGGTGGGCATGTCTTATAGAAGGCTGCTTCTCTCGAGGCCGTTTTAGCTAGTCTTCAATTTGGTCCAGTGTCTGAGCCCCATCTCCTAACCCAGTGATGTTGTTACAGAGCCTGCCTTACAAAAGTTCACCAAGGGCTGGGCACCGTGGCTCATGCCTGTAATCACAGCGCTTTGGGAGGCCCAAGGCGAACGGATCTCAAGGTCAAGAGATCCAGACCATCCTGGCCAACAAAGTGAAATGCCATCTCTACTAAAAATACAAAAATTAGCTGGAGAATTGCTTGAACCCGGGAGGCGGAGGTTGCAGTGAGCTGAGATAGCACCACTGCACTCCAACCTGGGTGACAGAGTGCGACTCGGTCTCAAAAAACATAAATAAAATAAAATAAAATAAAATAAATAAAATAAAATAAAGAAAAGTTCACCAAGAGCATCAGCATACGAAGTCAACTGAAAATAAAATAACCAAACCCCATGCCAGCCACAATCCCACTGGACCCCTTACCTATAACCATGAACTTAGGGCTTCTTGTTGATGAATACATACATTGCTTGATGCTAGAGTTAAAATTCAGTATCTTTTTCCCCCGCCCTTTTTTGCTTTTCTTTTACTTGATGGGAGCAGGTGTAAAATTTAACATCTTAATTGAACCCCTCAGTTTAAAAAAATCTGATCTAGGCTGGGGATGGTGGCTCACACCTGTAATCCCAGAACTTTGGGAGGTTGACGCAGGCGGATCACCTGAGGTCAGGAGTTTGACACCAGCCTGGCCAACGTGGTGAAACCTCATCTCTACTAAAAATACAAAAATTAGCCAGGTGTGGTGGCATGTGCCTGTTATCCCAGCTACTCAGGAGGGTGAGGCAGGAGAATTGCTTGAACATGGGAGGTGGAGGTTGCAGTGAGCCCAGATTGCACCATTGCACTCTGGCCTGGGCAATGAGAGTGAAATTCCGTCTTTTAAAAAAAAAAAAAAAAAAAAAGCCAGGTGCAGTGGCTCATGCCTGTGATCCCAGAACTTTGGGAGGCTAGGCAAGATCACCTGAGGGGTTAGGAGTTCAAGACCAACCTGGCCAACATGGTGAAACCCAATCTCTACTAAAAATAAAAAATTAGGCCAGGCACGGTGGCTCAGCTGAGGTGGAGAGTTCAAGACCAGCCTGACCAACATGGAGAAACCCTGTGTCTAAAAAAAAAAGAAAATAATAAATAAATAAATATTAGCTGTGTGTGGTGGTATGCACCTGTAGTCCCAGCTATTTGGGAGGATGAGACAGAAGAATCGCTTGAACCCGGGAGGTAGAGGTTGCAATGAGCCAAGATCACACCACTGCACTCCAGCCTGATAGTGTGAGACTCCCTCTCAAAAAAAAAAAATCTGATCTATGTGGTTGGGATAGGCAACTTCAATAGTCCTCACCGTTGTTAAAACGAATCTAACTTTTATTAACTCATCAGGCTAGGGAAAAATCAGCTCATTATTTGTGGGAAACACTCTCAGTAATGTAAGCCATTAGAAATCTAAAACTCACATCAGTTACATGGTGCATTAACATACTTTACTAACTCCCTGATACGTGAGGCAATTAAAAAAACCCACCAAGATTGTGTGTGTGTGTGTGTGTGTGTGCGCGCGCGCGCGTGCGCGCACGTGCAGTATTAAATATCAATTCACCTGAGAAGGCAGAGACAGTTTAGCACCAAAACAGGGCTTGTCCCCCGAGGACACACACTGGGAAGTGGCCTTTCCTCTCTGGTCTCAGCCCAGGTCCAGCTGTCGGGTGTCACCTCGCTAACAACTCATGCCTTGGGCTTCACCTCTGCATCTGCACAGCCTGGATGCCCTTGCCTGACACCCCACACCGATCGGGAGAGGCAGATGTATTTCGCTCAAGGAAACCTCACAAATGTAGAATATCATTTTTGAAACATTTTACCTACAGCTATTATGGATATGGGGTTACAATGTGCGTTGATTTTGCAGGTCCATTTATCAACATGTCTTGTCACGTTGCCCTGAAGTTCAGGGCAAATGCTATGTCAGTCTGTGTGCCTGGAAGCCATGCTCACCTCTCCTTTTCTGCAAAGTCATTCTGTAACTTCTGTTCCTTCTCAAGAGCTATGGTTTCGGCTTGGTTCTTCAGTGTCTGTTCATATTCTCGGATTTTCTCTTTAAGTGCTTTTATCGTAACCTCTGCAGAAAAGGAAAAAAAAAAAACCTATAGTAAGAGAAGCACACAATTCCACACGGCTGTAGGTACAAGGCTCTCATAACCTGGTAGGACCGGTGTGTTTTAAACCTTAGCTCTTCAAGTCTGACACAAAATCAATGGTTACGAGTCCCTTCGGAGACCTTTTACTCCCTAAATGCTAAATTGAACTTTAAACGCTTAGGCTGAGGAGGATCAATGGATTTTGCTGAAAAGAAGAGCTAAGGGCTGGACGCGGTGGCTCACGCCTGTAATCCCAACACTTTGAGAGGCCAAAGCGGGCAGATTATGAGGTCAGGAGTTCGAGACCAGCCTGGCCAATATGGTGAAACCCCATCTCTACTAAAAAGGCAAAAATTAGCTGGGCAGGGCGGCGCGCACCTGTGATCCCAGCTACTCAGGAGGCCGAGGAAGGAGAATGGTTGGAACCCGGGGGAGCGAGGTTGCGGTGAGCCGAGATTGCACCGCTGCCTCCAGCTTGGGCGACAGAGCAAGACTCCGTCTCAAAAAAAAAAAAAAAAAGAAAAGAAGAAAAAAAGAAAAAAGAAAAGAAGAGCTATGGTTTCTCTCGTACAAGTCAAAGAAAAAAAGGAGGGTGGGAGGCTGGGGATGGAAATCAATGGTAAAATATCATATCATCTTACTGATGAGTCTTAAGTTAGTCCTGTCACTGAGGGATGATTAATAAAGTCTTAGTGTGGGTTTCAGCACTTTCTCACACACACACACAAACACAGTTCATAATGGTGGGTGCATTTTGGAAGAAGTGATGGAAGGGGAATCAGGAATGTCTAGGGTACCCCATTCTCTATGATGTGACGATTTCATCCAAACCTCTCATGTACCCTATAAATATAAACACCTACTATGTACCCACACGAATTAAAAATAAATAATAATAAAAAAAAAAGTCTACAGGCCAAGCACAGTGGCTCACATCTGTAATCCCCGAGCTTTGGGAGGCTGAGGTGAGAGGATCCCCCGAGCTTGGGAGTTTGAGACCATAACACAGCGAGCCACACCTGTACAAAAAGCACAGGAATTAGCTGGACGTGGTGGCGCATGCCTGCAGTCCCAGCTTAGGGACCTGGGAGGCTGAGGTGGGAGGATGTCTTGAGCCCAGGAGTTTGAAGCTGCAGTGAGCTATGATTATGCCACTGCACTTCAGCCTGGATGACAGATGAGACCTGTTGAGAGAGAGAGAGAGAGAGAGACAGGGGGAGAGAGAGAGAGAGAGAAAGAGAGAGAGAGAGAGAGAGAGAGAGAGAGAGAAACAGAGAAAGAGAGACAGAGAGAGAAAGAGAGAGACAGACAGAAAAACAAGCGAGCAAGCTGGCATGGCCATGCAGCTCTGCTGGTTCGTAAGTTACAAGAAATGTGTGGTGCTCGGTGGATAAAGCATGAGTCTTCTGGGCTGGAAGGGACCCGCCCTGGGGCACCCTCCACGCTGGTGGTTGTGGGCTTTGCACGCAGAGCAGAGGGTACATAGCAAGGGGGGAGATGCTCTGGTGACTAGTGCGTGGCCCAGAGGGTTCCTAGAGTGGGGTGTGAGTGTCAGGGGTGTGGGGCAGGGCTGTTTCGGGACAACCCAGGCCCACGCGGCTCTGGTGAGTGGCTCCTGTACCACCAACTGCAAGTTCACAGACATCACCTCAATTGCCCATTCGGGGAGCATCAAAGCGGACTTGATGAATAGAGCAGACTGGTGGGTGGCTCTGGGGCAGGACTGCTCCCCCTGCGTCCTTCTCTAGACACACCTATGCCACTCTGCATGCTGGAGCCCCAGCCCCCAGGAGAGGGGAGCTCTTAGGTAACGTTGCCTGCTGCTACCGATCCACCTCTTGGCAGGCGAGGCTTACTTTCTTTGTGTTCCCAGTGCCGGCACAGGCTCGTGCTCAGGAAAGCACTGTGGCATGAATGAATGAAGGGGCCGAGGCCGGGCAGAGCTGGGGGAGGCCCAGACTGGGCTTGTGGCAATAGGGCTCCCTCTGGGGTAACAAGGCCACCTGCCAGGTGTGTAACTCACATCCTTTCCTGCTCTCTGGGATGCACAGACCCTCACTGGCCAGGGCAGGAGCACATCACCTGGGCGATTAACACCCACATGGCTTAGCACATACAAGCTAAAGGCTTTTTTTTTTTTTTTTTTTTAGGGTAGAGTTTCACTCTGTTGCCTAGGCTGGAGGGCGGTGGCACAGTCTTGGCTCACTGTAACCTCCACTTCCCAGGTTCAAGCAATTCTGCCGCCTCAGCCTCCAGAGTAGCTGGGACTACAGGTGCACTCTACCAAGCCTGGCTAATTTTTGTATTAAAGGCTCTATTGTTAAGAGAAGAGATTGGCTTTTTTCATTAGGTGGAACCCAGAGTGCTTTCCTTAGAGAGGGGGAATTCCACTAATGATCCCATCAGGGCGCTGGAGAGGGACTGGGCGCCTTTCTGCCCTTTGGCCTGGCTGATCAGGGTCCGGAAGAAATGCTCTGTGTACACAATGGTTGGTAATATGTCCCTCTCAAGCCATACAGACAAGGCCAACGTGAGGTAAGAGCTGGGCACTTCCAGAATGGAGTCCAGACAGGTCAGCTCGGAAAATGCCCACACTGCTCTGCTACGTCAATGGTCTATACTCCTGCGTAAACATGTTTTGCCTTTTTTTTTTTTTTTTGAGACAGAGACTCGCTCTGTTGCCCAGGCTAAGGTGTAGTGGTGTGATCTCAGCTCCCTGCAACCTCTGCCTCCCAAGTTCACGCAATCCTCGTGCCTCAGCCTCCTGAGCAGCTGGGACTACAGGCGTGTGTCACCACACCTGGCTCATTTTTGTGTTGCTTTTTTTTTTTAAGTAGAGATGGAGTTTTACCATGTTGGCCAGGTTGGTTTCGAAATCCTGACCTCAAATGATCAGCCCACCTTGGCCTCCCAAAGTGCTGAGATTACAGGCATGAGCCACCATGTCCAGCCTCATTAAGTGGGTGGACAGTGCCTGGACCCTAATGCCTGTTCCAGTGGGGCTCCTCAGTGACACATCATAGCGTGTGACCTCGTCAGTGTGCTGGCTGTGCCCGATGAGGTCTCTTTGCCATCCTCTGGCCCCCGGTGGGCACTCATGGACCAGCTCAGCCTCAGCCACAGGCCACTTCACCCTAGAGCCTCTGACCTTCCTCTGGCCCAGATTGCATCCCGGACAGACTCTGAGTGTCTCAGCAGGGCTCCCAGGCGTGTGCAGGGGAGGAGGGAACCAGCATAGCAGAGAGGGCTCTGAGGGCTTGCCACGACCTGGGGCCTCCATTTACTCATCATTGCAGGGTGGGTGGGGCTGTGGCCCATGAGGCGGACGCTCCCTCTCTGCTCTTTTTTTTTTTTTTTTGAGACGGAGTTTCACTCCTGTCGCCCAGGCTGGAGTGCAGTGGTGCGATCTTGGCTCACTGCCACTTTCATTTCCCCGGCTCAAGCAATTCTCCTGCCTCAGCCTCCCGAGTAGCTGGGATTACAAGCATGTGCCACCACGCCCAGCTAATTTTTATATTTTTAGTAGAGGTGGGGTTTCTCCATGTTAGTCAGGCTGGTCTCGAACTCCTGACCTCAGGTGATCTACCTGCCTCGGCCACCCAAAGTGCTGAGATTACAGGCGTGAGCCACGGCGCCCGGCTTCTGCTCTAACTTTTATTATGTACCTGATACAGTTTGGATGTCTGCCTCCTCCAAATCACAGGTTGAAATCGGATCTCCAGTGTTGGAGATTGGGCCGAGTGGGAGGTGTCTGGGTCTTGGGGGCAAATCCCTCATAAATCGCTTGGTGACGAGTCACTGAGATTTGGTTGTTAGTAAGAAGTCTGAGGCCCCCCATCTCTCTTGCCTTGTGGCATGTTTGCTCCCCTTTCACCTCCTGCCATGAGTAAAAGCTTCCTGAGGACCCCCTGAAGCCGGGCAGATGCTGGCGCCGTGCTCATACAGCCTGCAGAACCGTGAGCCAAATAACCCTTTCTTCATGTATTTCTTTATAGCAACATACAACACACTCAAATCATATATATATTTTTTTCTTTAAGAGATAGTCTTATTGTGTTGTCCAGGCTGGTCTTGAACTCCCGGCCTCAAGCAATCCTCCTGCCTATCTCTCAAAGTGCTGGAATTATAGGCGTGAGCCATTGTGCCAGCCCCTGCTCTAATTTTTTAATCATTTATATTACTGCTGTGATCATTACAAGTAATGTGCACTGCCTACCTTCCGAAATTAAGATGATTTTTTTTTTTGAGATGGAGTTTTGCTCTGTTGGCCAGGCTGGAGTGCAATGGTGTGATCTCGGCTCACCGCAACCTCCGCCTCTCAGGTTCAAGCGATTCTCCTGCCCCAGCCTCCTGAGTAGCTGGGATTACAGGCATGCGCCACCACACCCAGCTAATTTTTTGTATTTTTAGTACAGATGGGGTTTCTCCATGTTGGTCAGGCTGGTCTGAAACTCCCAGCCTCAGGTGATCCGCCCACCTCAGCCTCCCAAAGTGCTGGGATTACAGGCGTGAGCCACTGTGCCTGGCAGATCATTTTTATTCTTGGAAGAGGAGGAGAGGAAATGACATTTTTCTGGAGCTTGGGAAAACTTGTTATCCAAATAAAAAGGAGTAAATTTCTGGCAAACGCCACACTGCTGAATAAGCAGCAGGTACTATTAAGTGCTAAATGCTGTGTGTGTCCATATTTAATCCCACACCAACCCCACCTGTATGAGAATTGCCTCCCCACAAAAAGAGGCTTTTAGCCAAGTGAGATAACTTGCTGAAGGTCACACAGCTAGGTGGTGGCAAAGAAAGGACTCAAACCAGGCCTGTCTGTCTGCCTCCAGAGCTGTTCTTATTTAGAGACAGAGTCTCACTCCGTCGCCCACACTGGAGTGCAGTGGTGTGATCTCAGCTCGCTGCAACCTCCACCTCCCAGGTTCAAGCCATTTTCCCACCTCAGCCTGACTAACACGGAGAAACCCCACCTCTACTAAAAATATAAAAATTAGCTGGGCGTGGTGGCACATGCTTGTAATCCCAGCTACTCGGGAGGCTGAGGCAGGAGAATTGCTTGAGCCGGGGAAATGAAGGTGGCAGGGAGCCGAGATCGCACCACTGCCCTCCAGCCTGGGCGACAGGAGTGAAACTCCGTCTCAAAAAAAAAAAAAAAAAAAGAGCAGAGAGGGAGCGTCCGCCTCATGGGCCACAGCCCCACCCACCCTGCAATGATGAGTAAATGGAGGCCCCAGGTCGTGGCAAGCCCTCAGAGCCCTCTCTGCTATGCTGGTCTCCTCCTCCCCTGCACACGCCTGGGAGCCCTGCTGAGACACTCAGAGTCTGTCCGGGATGCAACCTGGGCCAGAGGAAGGTCAGAGGCTCTAGGGTGAAGTGGCCTGTGGCTGAGGCTGAGCTGGTCCATGAGCGCCCACCGGGGGCCAGAGGATGGCAAAGAGACCTCATCGGGCACAGCCAGCACACTGACGAGGTCACACGCTATGATGTGTCACTGAGGAGCCCCACTGGAACAGGCATTAGGGTCTAGGTACTGTCCACCCACTTAATGAGGCTGGACATGGTGGCTCGTATCTGTAATCTCAGCACTTTGGGAGGCCAAGGTGGGCTGATCATTTGAGGTCAGGATTTCGAGACCAACCTGGCCAACATGGTAGCTGAGATTATAGGCATGCCCCACCACGCCAGACTAATTTATGTAATTTTAGTAGAGACGGGGCTTTGCCATGTTGGCCAGGCTGGTCTTGAACTCATGACCTCAAGTGATCTGCCCACCTAGACCTCCCTAAGTGCTGGGATTATAGGCGTGAGCCACCGCACCTGGCCTGGAGCCATTCTTTTTTTTTTTTTTTTTTTTTTTTTTTTGAGACGGAGTTTCGCTCTTGTTAACCAGGCTGGAGTGCAATGGCGCGATCTCGGCTCAACGCAACCTCCACCTCCTGGGTTCAGGCAATTCTCCTGCCTCAGCCTCCTGAGTAGCTGGGATTACAGGCACGCGCCACCATGCCCAGCTAATTTTTTGTATTTTTAGTAGAGACGGGGTTTCACCATGTTGACCAGGATGGTCTCGATCTCTCAACCTCGTGATCCACCCGCCTCGGCCTCCCAAAGTGCTGGGATTACAGGCTTGAGCCACCGTGCCCGGCCTGGAGCCATTCTTAAATCTTGGACTCTATAACTCATGAGACCTTTGGGGAGAGAACATCCACACTGAGCTTAGCTCCTGGCCATTGGGAAGCTGGTAACTGAGGCACTGGTGAGGTGAGGAGAAGAGAAGGAACATCCTGCACAGCCCTTGAGGCCCCCACCGGCACCACCCTCCAACAAAAGCGAACTTGAGAAAAAAAAGGCCAGAAAGAGGCCGGGCATGGCGGGACACATGCCTGTAGTCCCAGCTACTCAGAAGGCTGAGGCGGGAGGATGGCTTGAGTCCAGGAGGTCAAGGTTGCAGTGAGCTATGATCATGCAACTGTTCCCCAGCCTGGGTGACAGGGTGAGACCCTGAATCTGAAAAAAAAAAAAAAAAATCTGAAACAACAACAACAACAACAACAAAAAAACCCAAAAAAACCAAACAAACAAAAAAAACAACAAACAAACCAGGCAGCAGATCTGTCAAAATTAGGTGCCAGATGAGAATAAAGGGAAAAAACCCAGGATACTCCCCTTTACGGTGGCGCGCCTATGAAAAAAGGTGCATATTTGCAGGTTACCTTTCTTTCTTTCTTTTCTTTTCTTTTTTTTTTTTTTTTTGAGATACAGTCTTGCTCTGTTGCCCAGGCTGCAGTGCAGTGGCATGATCTCGGCTCACTGCAACCTCTCCCTCCAGGGTTCAAGCAATCCTTCTGCCTCAACCTCCTCAGTGGCTGGGATTAAAAGCATGCGCCACTATGCCCAGCTAATTTTGTATTTTCAGTAGAGACGGGGTTTCACCATATTGGCCAGGCTGGTCTTGAACTCCTGACCTTGTGATCTGCCCACCTCGGCCTCCCAAAGTGCTGGGATTACAGGCGTGAGCCACCGTGCCCGGCACAGGTTACCTTTCACTGGAACGGTGTAGTGATTCTGGCAAGAAATGTTTCCTACAGGGGAAGGTAATACCTTCCTTAGAGCAGGTCCACCTTAGCAAGCTCAATGCCTCACTTTCTCGCAGGACAGAGCTATCCCTTCTGGTCCTAAAGGCTCACCGCTCTCAGCAGAGCCAAACAGAAGTGGCGTCTGGCTTCTCCAACTGCCTGTTACCTCCTGCTCCCAAATCTCAGCAAGGAAGCCCTGCTGGCCTGAGGGCTCGAGTATCCCAATGCCCACGCCACAGGGAGATGTGTTCAGAGGCCCTGAGTGCTACTGCCCCTCATAGCCCAGGCCTCTACCTCTGGTTCTTCCCACATCATCACAGATGCTTGCTGGATCGTTTCCACGGACAATTTCTCTTCCTGAGTCCACCTGCAGTGTTTTCAAAGCCAAAGGATGCTTTTAAAAGTCTTTGCCAATTAACTTTTTTTTGTTGTTATTGTTAAAGACTGGATCTTGCTCTGTCACCTAGACTGAATGAAGTGTCATGATCACGGCTCACTATAGCCTTGACCTCCTGGGCTCAAGCGATCCTCCCACCTCAGCCTCTTGAGTAGCTGGGACCACAGGTGTGTACCACCATGCCCGGCTACTTTTCGACGTTCTGTTGCGACAGGGTGTCACTAGGTTACCCAGGCTGGTCTTGAACTCCCGGCCTCAAGCGATCCTCCCACCTTGGCCTCCCAAAGTGCTGGGATTACCGGTGTGAAATCCACACATGGCGAATTAACTCTTTATCGAGGTCTCTACAAATAGTCAATGGACGTCCTCTCTTTTCTATCCAATTCCTCACCCACATTCCCAAACAAAACCAAACAGGCAGAATTATTCTTTGGAGCTGACTGAAAAACCTGCTGTCAGAGGTGGGCTGTGATTTTTCTTCAAGCGAAGGAAGCCAAGAGGCTTCAGGATCCTGAGTGCTCTGGATTTTAGGCACGGGAGAGACTGCTTCGTTCTTCCCTGATGGGAAAAGCCAGGCAACCTTTGCTCTCTCTGTCTTGTTGATGGCTGGGCCAACACACCAAGAGGTTGTTTTCTATCATTAAATTCCTAATGAATAGGCAATACCGACAAGGCAACAGCAGCGCTTAAGCATCAGCCTTTAAGATGTGTCCGAAGCCTTAATGTATCCGCAGCAATTATTAAATGACTTACTGTGTGTGACCCTTTGATCACGAGCTGGCTTTCTGACAGGTGTCGCCTGGAGGCAACGCGCATCGGCCTTTCAAGAGGCATACCCAATCGCGTAATGATACAGGAAGAGTTTTCAAAGAATCCTGATCCGTCTCATCCGAGGGCAATAAAATCTTACGTGGTAGTTGCGAAGAGGAAAAGTTTTACTTGGAAATAGCTCAGGACGATTATCGTCTCTCTTTAACGACTCAGATTCCTGCCCCGCCCTGACTTTATGATGTGTATATTACAAGGAGAACTGGACCCAAAAGTATGAGAAAAGGCAATTAAAAAAAAAAAAAAAAGAAACGAAGAGAGAAGAGAAGACAAAGAAGGAATGCATTTTCCACCAACCTTGATTCTTCACTTCGGCAAATTCCTTGTTGTATTCTTCCAGAGTTTCCCTAAGTCTCTGGTTCTCTGTTTCAATATCGTGCAGCCGCTGTACTTTGAGCTGGAGTTGCTGTCCAAGATCCAAAGCCGGTACCGGATCTGCACAACAGGAAAGCAGCCATCACCCCATTCTGCCCCCAAACATGCCCCCGTCACGGCAATACACAGGCTCAGAACGGGACTCCTGAGACGTCAGCTCCAGCAGGCTGCCCAGAGGCCACAGTCATGCCCCTGCGGCCTCACCTCCTCCTGCAGGGGCCAGCCCCCTTGCTGGGTAAGGGGGTTCTCCACTGCTTTATAAAGGATGGACCCAGCCCAAGGTCCTTGAGGTGTGAAAACGGGGTGGGAATAGTCATGAGATTCACTGGTGTTTGCCGATTACGTGATTTTCATTCTTTGATCAGATAAGCAGAGAAATATACCAGGCAGCAGCCCCAGGAGATCAACCACATCCCCAGAGATGCATGTGGAAGACAGGTAAGCCCATGGACAGCTGCCCGGATGTTTAAGATTTCCAACAATTAAGAAGTTGGAATAACAGATAACACCTGATGCCCTGAGAACGCCACACAGTTCACGGGACGCTTTATGGACATTTTGTCATTTGGGCCTTACAATGATCTCCAGAAACAGGCCTCAGAAGCTAAAGCCCAGGGATGCAGAGTGACTCTCCTGAGGTCACCGGCTAGTTGGTTGGCGCAGAGAATGTGCACGTAAGTCTGTCAACTCCAAGTGATCATGCTTTTTTGTGTTTGTTTGTTTGACACAGGGTCTTGCTCTGTTGCCCAGGCTGGAGTGCAGTGGCACAATCATGGCTCACTGCAGCCTCCGCCTCCTGGGCTCAAGCGATCCTCCCACCTCAGCCTCCTGAGTAGCTGGGACTACAGGCACGCACCACCACGCTGGGCTGGTTTTTGTATTTTTTGTACAAATGGGGTCTTGCTATGTTGCCTAGGCTGGTCTCAAACTCCTAGGCTCAAGGGATCTGCCCGCTTCAGATTCCTAAAGGATTACAGGCATGAGCCACCCTGCCCAGACCCGAGTGACCTTTCTTTACAACAAGGAAGGTCACTTGGTGAAGCAGAGGGAAGAAACACGTGGGCTTTATAAAGAAGCCACCCCATTTCGCGACATGATCACTCTCCATCACCAGGCTCTTTCACGAATGAAGGGTGTTCAGAAGAGTCAGGAGTTCGTGGCTTCGGGTCCCAAGGCTGGAGACCCCTGCAGAGGCACGGCTGGTGACCCGGCATGGCCCTGTGGTAGGCCAGCTGGCCAGGAGGCCACCAGACTCCTGATGGTGACAGAGTGCGGAGCAGCACGAGCTGAACAGCAGCCAGGCTGCTGATGAGATCTTGCGGCGAATTCAAGGTCACATCTGCCAACAGATTCACTCGCAGAAAACTGGATTTTAATCCAAAGCCAGAAGTCACAGACCCGGAATTTACAGTACAGACTCGGGGCTCTTGCCTTTACTGTGAATTCAACATAGGGCGGAGAGACCTTAAATGTTCTTCCGCACCAATGCGATCTTTTAGTTTTCCTTCTGCTGCCTAAGAGGCGATTATAGTCTGCCTGCTGGGTACTCGGGGCACACTTCCTTTGGAATTTTCAGGCTCCGTCAGAGTGGAAGAATACCCAAGTCCACGGAGCTTAGAAAGATTACTGAATATATTTCTGGTATGGGCGCCGGCGTCACTTGTGAGATGGCTGCAGAGATTTAGTCTCCAGTGGGGGAATGTCAAACACCATGCCCAGTGGATCAACAAGAGCATATATTCAAGAGCTCACTTAACTTTCAAATGCCAGAGTCATTCATTTTTCGGACCACCCTAGGTTCCTGGAATCGAGGACCAGGTCTACCATGCCTCGGTTAACACATCCAGAGGGAGCCAGAGACTCTCTGGGATGCCAGCGTCTTTGCAGAGTTTATGAAAGGCAGGCATTGGGCTATGTTGGGCTCAATGTCAGTGGACCCCGGGCGCTAGGCACTGATCCTGCACGTATACACAGTCTATAATTGCATCTCTTTCTTGTGCATGGCTTTTCATGATTATTTTAATCAGCATTAAAATATTTATGTTAAGTTTGGACTCCAAGAGCTATTTTGGAGGCTGGGTGCAATGGTTCACGCCTGTAATCCCGGCACTTTGGGAGGCTGAATCACTTGAGCTCGGGAGTTTGAGACCGGCCTGGGCAACACGGTGAAAGCCTGTCTCTACAAAACAAAAACACAAACCAAAAACTAGCCGGGCACGGTGGTGCACACCTGTAGTCCCACCTACTGCGGGGACTAAGGCAGGAGAATCACTTGAGCCCTAGAGTTCGAGGTTGCAGTGAGCCATGATCGAGCCACTGCACTCCAGCCTGGGCCACAGAGTGAAATCCCGTGTCGGTGGGGGGAAAAAAAAAGCTATCTTGGGGAGATGGTTCTTTTTAAGTAGGAGTAGTGATAACACAAAAAAACGGAATTCCTAAAAACATTTAGGTGCTGTTCGTAAAAAAAAAAAAAAAAAAAAAAAAAATCTCAGTAACTTCACCTTCTCAGCCTTCCCTCTTCTCCCACCTTCCTGGCCCTGTGCTGGGCAAATGGTCTCAAGAAAGTGAACAGCATGTTCATAGCTTCCTTTCTATAGAACCACAATTTAAACTTGACGCAGAGGTCAGGGAAGGGGAGGTAAAGAGAGGAACATTTGCTCACGTATAAAATTCTATTAAGAGTCCCTCACGTAGGCTTTCCGGCACAAGAACAAAGCTAGCACACGGCCTGCCCTCCCTAAAAGTTCTGTCAACAGCATTTCCAGTCCATTCCTTTCAAAAGGCCAGGATCCCCCTGTATCTGCTTCGAATGAAAAACGGCTTCTCCCATGCAGTTCAGCAAGGAATCCGGTGACATATGAAAATGACATGCACATCATCCAGTGAGCGGGAATGAGACCCTTACACTGTAAATGAAAAATCAGGCAATCTCATAATCGTTCATTATGGCATGTATATTTAGTCTGACGCTAGTAAAGGTTAATACCTAAGTAGCAAAATTGGTCACAGACTAAAGGATGAGCCGAGTGTTCAAACATCTCGATGCATCAGACTCCAAACTTGACTACGGTACAGCTGACTCCCTAAATGCCTGCAGCATCTGAATACTGTTTTGGGATATGTAAGAGGCATTGCTAAAGAAACTCTTAGGCTTAATTGTTATTACTTGTATTAAAGAAACAGCTAATTACCGCATGACAATATAATGACTCTAGCATGTTTGGGCTGGAGACCAAGACAATGAATTTTGGCGTGCCAAAACCCAACCTGTATGTTAATCTACGGAAATCATAGCTTTTTGTCTCCTTAATGATTTCCAAGGCCATTTAAACCCCACACAAGGATTGTCAGGTCTTATCCCAGCGTCAGATGCCTCTGATCTTAGCAGCTCAATTAGGGAACTGTCTGGAGGAGGTGAAGTGGACACACCCATATATAAAACAGAAACACACAAAAGCCGGTAACCCCTGTCTTCCCAGCCTCCTCCTCGGCGATTCAACTCGCCTTCCTGCCAGCTCCACCCACCCAACGCGACAATCTTGTAAAGTGTTTTACGATCATCTGATACTTGATTCCTAAAGCAGTCCTGGAGGTATTATATAGCTTGTTATGCAACAGGGCTCAACAACAACACCATCACCTGTACGGATTCAGCACCTTTGCCTACGTGCATGCAGCATTACCTTGCTAATTCCAGCCACGGGCAGTCAGAGCTGCCGGAGCCCACTCTGCAATGCATGGGGTAGATGCATCTCACCCTGGGAGGAAGGGAGGAAGGGAAGAGGCAAAGAAGCCGGCCAGGCGAACGAGTATGAGAAATTCTCAGTGCAATTTCTGCTTACTGGCTGGGCACAGTGGCTCATGCCTGTAATCCCAGCACTATGGGAGGTAGAGGATGGAAGATCGTTTGAGCCCAGGAGCTTGAGGCCAGCCTGGGCAACATAAGTGAGACCCTGTCTTTAGGAAACATACAAAAATTAGCTGGGCATGGTGGTGCACACCTATAGTCCCAGCTCCCTGGGAGGCTGAAGTAGGAAGATTGCTTGAGTGTGGGAGGTGGAGGTTGCAGAGAGCTATGACTTTTTTTTTTTTTTTTAAGAGACATAAGCTTACTCTAGCCTTGGGGGACACAGTGAGACCCTGTCTTAAAAGAAAAGAAAAGAAAAAAAAAAGTGTCTGTTACCCGAACCAGCAGCCAACGAAAACCTCTTTGAGTACTAATTTACCAAGTATTTCCTACGGAGCTGAAGCAACTGTCTGTGCTGGGAAAGGCCCGGCCTCACAGCAGAGATAAACCATGCATGTACATGACAAACTCAAAGCAGGAGGAGCCACACTGGAGACCAGATGAGCGGTAGAGCACTCCTGGAGAAACTGAGAAAAGGAGGTTTTTTTTTTTTTTTTTTTTTGAGATGGGGTCTCCTCCCTGTGTCCCCCAGGCTGGAGTGCAGTGGTGCTATCTCGGGGTTCCAGTGATTCTCCTGCCTCAGCCTTCCAAGTAGCTGGGATTATAGCTGTCCACAACCACACCCGGCTAGTTTTTGTATTTTTAGTAGACAGAGTTTCACCATGTTGGCCAGGTTGGTCTCGAACTCCTGACTTCAGACGATCTGCCTGCCTCGGTCTCCCAAAGTGCTGGGATTATAGGAATGAGCCACTGACCCCGGCCAGGAGGTCTTTTAAAAGAAGAGGTGACTCTTGAGCAGTCCCTCCCTAAAGGATACACAGAATTGAGACCTGTGGAGACTGCAGGGTGGTCTGTCCCTGTGGGCAGCTCAGCAGGTATGAGAACAAGTGGAGTGTGCAAGGCATGACCAAAATGATGGTTGTGGACAGGCTTGGGGACCACACCTGTAATCCCAGTGCTTTGGGAGGCTGAGGTGGGAGGATCACTTGAGGACAGGCATTTGAGACCATCCAGGGCAACATAGTGAAATCTCCATCTCCACCAAAAAAAAAAAAAAAAAAAAAAGCCAGGTGTGGTGGCGCACGGCACACACACGTAGTCCCAGCTACTGAGGAGGAGAGATTGCTGGAGCCCAGAAGTCTGAGGCTGCAGT